ATTTTAAGTTCCAAGAGATTGCACACAAAATTGTGTGCTTGGGGGTGTGTTTGGGCCCCCTGCCTGTGCCTTGCAGTAGTTTCCTGCCGCTTTCCTCTCCCCGCATTAATAACAGAAGGCTGATTATCGTTTCCATAGATTCCCCTTTCCACCCTGCATGCTGCTGCCTTTCCATCCTCTGTTATTGTTTACATTGGGGTGGGGGGGATTTTGGCAGGGTTTCTTCTCCTCCTCTTCCCCCTCTTCCCTCCCCTTTTGACTGCGGCAGCAGAGACACCCAGTGGAGTAGCTGCAGCCTTCCCCATCGGTGTGGCTCCCTAGCCCTCCCCCTTCCCGTCCCCTGCCTCTCCGCTGGAATTTCCATTTTGAGAAAGAAGTGTATGATTTGTTTTCGGGTGGCCAAGGAGGGGATTTTCCCTCCTCCTTCCTCCCCTCCTCCCTGCCTGATATTCCAAATACTTCACCATGTCTTCCTCGGCTCTTTTTCTCTCTGTCTCTCTCTTCCCCCCTCCTCCTTGTAGGGTGGAGTAATGGTGCCCTTGGAAATAGTCCTGTTGAAGAAAGTGGGTTCAGGCTTCCGGGGTGTAATCAAGCTGCTCGACTGGTACGAGAGGCCCGATGGCTACCTGATCATCATGGAACGGCCAGACCTGGTGAAAGATCTCTTTGACTTCATTACGGAGAAGGGGGCATTGGATGAGGACACCGCACGGGGCTTCTTTCATCAAGTCCTGGAAGCAGTGCGCCACTGCTACAGCTGCGGGGTGGTACACAGAGACATCAAGGATGAGAATCTTCTGGTGGATCTCAGGACAGGAGAACTGAAGCTGATCGATTTTGGGTCTGGAGCCATCCTCAAGGACACGGTCTACACTGACTTTGATGGTACGCGCCCCTCCCAACTGCAGCTGGTCCCTGCATGTGGAGGGATGGGTGAGAGGAGGAAAGTGCTTAATTGGGAAAGTATCCTGACACAGCCCCCTCTTTCTTTATCACATTCTCACCACCTACTATCAACAAAATGTATTTTTGCTGCCGCAGTCAGTAGCAGGTTGATAATTAAATCCTTTGCAATGGAGGCAGCTGGAGGGGGGTGTCAAGTTGTGTAGGAAAGGAGCAATTCCAGGCAGTGACGCAGCAGTTTATATTTTCCCTGCCTTCAAAAAAAAAGCATTTTCCTAGAGGGCGATGTGTTTACAGTTGAGTCAAGCTTTACCAGCGTGAGTGTTTCAATCTGTGCTTTTCTTGTACTTTTTTCTCCTGTATTCTGTTCTTCCACTCCCACCCCCAGTACCTGTTTTTCTCCTTTCCCAGCCCCTCATTCTCCTACAATGCTTTAGAAATCCCGCATTGCAGATTGAGGGACCAGGGGAAAAAAGACACCCTTTCCAAAAAAAAAGGAGAAGTTCTTTCTTGCTTTCTTTTTTACCTAAACATTGAAGCATAGGTTGCCTCCTTTTGTTATCAGAAATATATTATCTCTTCCTTTTGCCTAAGGATAGTGAGATTTTCTTTCTTTCAAGATGAAGGTGATCCATGTAAAGGAGGCACCCGTTTTTTCACCTCCCTTCCTAGTCAGCTGCAGCATTTAACATCTGTTTGTTGTGAAACGAGAGTCTCCTGGCCATGTGACCTTCAGCATCACAAATTCCAGTTTTCATTTGGTATCCAAGTAACCACTCGGTGCAGAGGGAGGGCAGTTGCTAACTGCCTTCTTAATGCGTGAGGCAGATTTCACTCTTCTTTTAAAAGATTATTCTGATTTTCTCTCTTTCTTAAAAAAAGGGAGTGGCACACTTTTGGAACTGACCAAAACTGATTAGTCACATTTAGGAACAAGGCTGGAGTTTCACCTTTTTTTTCTTTCCTCTCTCTCTCCTTTCATCCCCTCTTCCTTTGTCCTTTTGTGTCTATTTTTGGTACGGTGCTGCAGACGCCACGTGGTCAAGGAAAGGGAGCTTTATGTTAGTAAACAGTCAGCTGATGGTTAGAACAACCGGAGGGCCGAGATTAAAGCATGATATAATCCCAGGGGTGATCTAAGGTCTAGAATTTTCCCATATATGTTTGTGTGCTGTGTGTTTATTTTTTTTTTAATGGGATTTTGAAGTTGCAGCACATAAAATATACAACTAACCGAAAGTTCATCTTGGCTAACAGGGCAAGGGGTCTTGTATTTTTTCCCCCTGCAGGAACACGAGTATACAGCCCTCCAGAATGGATTCGCTACCACAGATACCATGGGCGATCGGCTACTGTATGGTCACTGGGCGTTCTGCTCTATGACATGGTCTGTGGAGACATCCCTTTTGAGCAAGATGAGGAGATCTTAAGAGGACGCCTGTATTTCAGGAGGCGAATTTCACTCGGTGAGCTGAGATTCACAGATCTCTACAACCCTGTTCCTCTCCCTGCTTAATGGATTGTTCTGGTGGTTGCCTCCCCTTTTCCTGAGCTGCTTTCTCTGTGTCTTTCAGAATGCCAACAGTTGATCAAATGGTGCCTTTCCCTGAGGCCTTCAGATAGACCAACCCTTGAGCAAATTTTTGACCACCCGTGGTTGCACAAATCTGAAGTTGTGAAGTCAGAAGACTGTGACATAAGGTTACGGACCATTGGCACGGACGTGTCTCGCACAAGTTCAAGCAACGAGAGCCTGTGAAATACTGAGGACCTTGTAAAGGGAGGGGAGCCACAAGCAGAAAAAGAGGGGGAAAAAAAAAAGACCAGAGTGCTGCTGCTGCTGCCAATATGTAGAAGGGGCTAGGAAAAAAATGCATTAATTATTCTGTAGTTTGAATCTTTGTCTGAGGGAATTGATTTTTTTTTTTAAATTTTCCCCTTATTGCTGGTTTCTGCTTCAGAATGAAATTTCCCTTGGAAACGCTGATATATGGGAGTTGGCAGGCCAGTACTTAATCCAAAAGACTGACCTTGTTATTATTATTTTTTATTATTATTAAGAAAAGCAGTGACCTCTTTAAATAACATGGTAAACCTTTTTGCTCTCATAGAGCCTGGACTAAATTTTATTTGCTTTTTTGAGTGCCTTTTTGAAAGCTGCTTCAGTGGGACTTTCTTTTTTGAGCTGTGTGTGTCCAAAGAAGATCCAGTACATTATAGAATCTTGCTTCCCTTCTCCACTCTCGGTGCTGGGGCAAGCAGCTCCCTATGATGCACTAGAAAACATGTTCAGTGACTGAATGAAGTAGTCCCATCAACTGATGATGGAATACTTGAACACAGACATTTCGCCCTGTCCCTGGTTCTTCCCCAGCCTCCTCTCCCCCCTGCCCCCAACAAGACCACCTCTGCTGCTCCACACGATATTTCCATAGGCTGCACAGGTTATCAGCTCTTTATCAGGAACACTCACCCATGTTTCATTTCATCTCTACCACTGGGCACAAGAAAAAAGGCCCTTTCTCAGTTCCCCCAACCTGCAAGTCTTAAAAAGTATGAATGGGCATGTTAAATGCACAATCAATGCAATATTCAAGGACTGTGTGCGTGTGGGTTTTTTTTTTTTTTTCCTTTTCCCATACTTGTATAATGTGTTCGTGTAAATTTTTTCCCTATACTATACAAGTTTTATTTATTGTCTGGAGTTTAGAAGACCTCTCACAGACTCATCTGTGGCTATTTATTTTAGCTAATTTATTTGTTTAGAATTATGCAACACTGCTTTTATCTCTCTCCTTCTGTTGTGGAGATTTCTCTGGGATCAGTCCACAACTTATTTTTGCATTCCTGTCTTTTCCTCTTTTGGGGGTAGGGGTGGGTTGTTGAAAAAGAAATATATATATATAAAGTCTGACCATACCTGTTTTTTTTTTCCTTCATTTTTGGTTGGAAGATAGAAAATTGTTGTACAAAGTCTAATTTAAGGGAACTAGAATGACTTTAAAAGTTAGTATGCCTTTTTTGTCTGGTATTATTGACATACCAGAACTGTAAAGTAATGCTGTTTTGAAGGGTTTTAAATTATTGACATTGTACAGTCTTTGTGCATTGGCTCTGGAAGGAAGAATGGCAGAGTCATAAACCTTAATTTATTTTAATAGATGTGTGTTCTGTGATCTGGTTGCACTTATGCAGCTTGGATTTGGATTTTTTTTTCCTTCTGTTTAACAGTGTGAAATGTATGGAGATCATATTTTTTTATACAGGTATTTCAATTAAACTTTTTTGTAGATAAGTGGCACAATGTGTTCATTTGAGTTCAACAGTGGCTTCTCAGAGGAGGGGCCTCAACACAGTTGTACAAGTCTACGCGGAAGTTAAGTCCCACAAATCTCAATAGAGATAGGACCGCAATCTTCATGTTTCAATGCTTAGATGTCTTTGTCCACAGAGATAGAAATGGTCCTCAGTAATCAGGTTTGGCTAGTGCAGAGATTCCCCCATCTTTGGGAACTGGTGAATATATTTAAAGGTTTTAAGAGAATATTACAGATATTCTTGGCAAAGTGGCTGCTGTAGTGCACATGACCAACTGTGAGGTACAACCACACATCCCTTCTAGCTCCCAAAATTCTCTTTACCGCTGTTTCCCTTTGCTTTTTCTGGACAGGTGCTCCACTTCCAAAGTACTGAATTGTAGGTACCTATCATCTTGTTTTCCAAGAATGCTTCTGGGGTCTGTGAGAGCTCAGAGGCATTGTGAGAAATACAGCTTCCCCTTATGGCTGCCACTTTCCAAGGTTCATGTTGCCTGTTTTTAAAATTAAAGATCTGAAGTATTGTGGTCCTTGGAGCTTGGTGGGTAGGAATCCCAATGGGGGAGGGGAAGTCAAGTCAAGATGGTCACAATCGCAAAATTGAAACCACCACCACCTTTTACATGTGTGCAGCACATATGTACAAAAGGGCAGGGTTTCAGTTGTGCAGTTGCTGCCATTTTGACTTTCTTGACCCCCCCCCCCACAGTGGATGCCTCTGCCAGTGGTAGGGAGTATCACATTGGACCCCATTGGTGCCTATAGTGGAGACTTGGGATAAAATAATGGCTCATGGAGATATTGCGGACAACTGCAGGTTATCCAAGTCACTCTGCTTCATTCATCCATGGCTTGTAGCTGTTGAGAATATCCTCGTGGGTCTTGCCTTTTGCAAGTCCATAAACATAGCTGCTTGGCAAGGGGTTACAATTCTTCTCTGTAAGGTGAAACAGATTTGGGCAACTAATGAAGTAGTTTCTGTAGTGCCTTCCTTACGAAACAATGACTTCCTTACAAAACAAAACTGGGGGGTGCAACTGAAGCCCCATCCCATAACGTGTGTTGCATGCATCACATGGACATAAAAAGGTGTGGAGCTTTTATTGCCTGATCATGCGTGCCATTTTGATGTTGACCCACCCTGCACAGACACCCCTGCGCATATCACATTTGGAAGCCGAAGTGCTTGTTTTGGATGTTCTTAAAATGCCTTTCTCTTTCTGTAGCCTCCCCAGGTGCATCAGATGATGACGAGGCACCAGGTTGGGGAATGCTCCAGAGGCAAAACTATACATGATAGACCTGTTTTGGGACAGGACTCCTTCATATTTTCATCAGATAGGTCTGCACAACATGCTAAGCCAGAAAGTCTGGCGAGCACATGCATGCCTTGGTTATCCTCCCCTATATGCAGCTCTTTAATCAACATCTTAGGTTTACCAGGTTGTCCAGTCCCAAATAGTTTCTCAGTTGAAGTTACACACTTGAGAACTGGAAACCTTCAGCAAACCCAGTTTCCATCTCCAGGCTTCATATATCGTAAGCTAAAGGCGGTTTAAAGTGTTGGGATAGAGTGGGAGATAAGATGGTGTGCTCATTAATAGACATTCTGGTTTAGTGTCCTGTTCTCATTCATTCGTTCATTTGCAAGACTTTTATACGAATCTTATTTGACTCTAAGCAATGTGCACGTGCAGCTTATATACTTGGATTCGTCTCAATATCAGCAGCTTCATATAAAACAGGGACAGGTTTAAGCATCTTCTCCCTGGCAGACTAGCTTTCATATGCAACAAATTTCCTTACATGAAAGAAAATCCAAACGAGGACTGCTAATCTGCATTCTGAAGCCGACTGGGCCAGGTCATGCTATTTTTGCCCATTTCAAGTGGCTCTTAAGAGGTGTTCATAGCACTGTAGTGCGTAACCTCCTCTAGTGTTGGAAACTCTCTTCAGTGGCTACTTAGAGCCCTTGCTGAATTTAGTAGGGCTAATGCATCACGACCACTGAGGCCTTACAAGGCTTGCATACTTTCCTTTTATGAAAATAAATTACCCAAGAAGATGGTTGTATCACTGAGCAATTACAAGGAAAGGAGGCTGGATTATAAGAGAAGATTACTTTAAATGCCTGCTTTGTTAACAGTATTTCCAAATCCAATTGCTGAATATTAAAATTCCTGCTTGCGTATGAAACAATGGTAAACCACTAAAAAGGGAAAGTTGCCATTGTCCAGCTTCAACAGACTTTCTCTGGTCCTGTTTAAATAATTCCCTAGGAGCAAAATTACAAGAAGTTTGACATGGTTTTCTTTATTTTTTGCAGTTTCATCCTTTCATCTGAACAAGTTTCTTCTTTGTCCATCTTTGTCCGTCTATCAATCAATCAATCAATCAATCAATCAATCATAAAGGCAGGAATGTGGTGCTGTAGATAAAACTGGGACATAGAAGTTTTCTCACTCTGCAGCTTGAATCTCATGGGGTTCTGTTAGAAAGAAAGCCAATGTTGTGATGCTTGCATTAAGTTTTTCTAGGTCAGTATTAAATTACATGACAGGTAGTTTGGCACAGGCACTGTCCTCCATGTGCATAAATTGACAGCAGCATTTCTCCCACTTTTCAAAACATGAATATCCTTCTAAAGCCATTCTTCTCAACCTCAACCTGGAGAGAGATACTGTAATATAAATAAGTCTTATATGCAGCGTCTGTTGCACTTGGGGATATGCAGTGAAGTCCATTTATTTGCTTTTTAAACAAAAGAATTACTGTCTATTCCCTGGGACTCTGAGGCTATCTATCTTGCCTCCTTCCTTTTCTTCCAGCAAATTCACATGGAGTTGATCAGGCAGAGAAAAAGAGAAATGCCTTCTCTAGCCCAGATACTGGGTCACTCCCAGAATGACATAAACTCCTGAGGGAAGTTCCTATCACCACTGTGAAATTTCAGCCCATGGTGGAGAAGATCAGCATTCTGTTACCATAAATCAATACACTGTGTTAGCCTAGAAAATTTTTAGAAAAAAATAATAATTGCCAGATGGATGCTAGACATCATAAACATTAGTCTCTGAAGCCATAAGACTTTTCAGCTTTTTCACCAGTAACAGTCTAATATGCCTGCCCCATTGGAAAATGATGAAGCTGTGTGAAACAAGGGGGATGCTTGGCCCATTTCTTTAGATAGAGAATGGACTAACACCATAATAGCCAATGGTGCTTGTATTCATAGGGAGAAATGATTGCTGGGAAAAAAGGCTAAACACTTGATTAAAAACCTTCTTCTATGATCTCAAAAATACATCAGAGGCTTTTAAAAAAGAATTCATGGCTGTTTTAAAGTCCAACTTTCTAAGGCATATGTTATAACGATTATTGTTTCAAAGCTGGCCAAGCCAGAGGATATGAAATAAGTTCAAACAAAGACACTCCATGGATTTAGGAGGGAGAATTTTTAGAATTAACATTGTTACCCCCATTAACCTTATCATTGTGTACAACTTTCCCACATTTAATATCATGCAGGTATAAGACTTCAAAGACATCAGTGCTAGCTACATATTCCTCACAGTTATCTGTGTTTCCTCTGGCTATGGAGGTCATCAGTGTCTGCCATGCTATCAGTAGATCTAACAAAAATGTGACAAGTGAAGATTTCTACATTCTTTTGTTTCTATGCCAGAATAAAAGCTTCCCACACTACATTTATGGGTGCTAAGATGCCCTTAGATGTACATAGGAGCAAGCAAAAAGTTGCCAGTCAAATCCTTAAAACAGATGTCAGGACTATTGAGCCTTAAAAGCAGAGATAAATAAACCCATTAGAATGAATCTGGTCCAGGCATCATTCCAGTAGGAATGCAAAAGTTTCCTTCAATACCCCTGTTCTTCACTGTGCCCCATTGCCTTTTCCCCATTTGATCCATCTATTTTCATTTTTGCTTGGCTTGGCTTTCTCTAAATGAACATGAGCAGGATATACTCCTACTCATCTCTTTGCAATGTTTTTCTACATTTTGCTATCTTCTTCTTGCCACTTTGGGTGTTCTTCACTCTTTTCTGTTCTTCTTCAGAGCTCTCCAATTGCCCCGGTAGCTTCACAGCATCCTACCCGTGTCTAAATGCAGCAAAATATGTTAGGGGTGCGGGCCATTGAAATTGCAGTGTTATGTTTGCATGACACATCCAGTTAATGTTAAGGTGGAATCAATTAAACCAATTTGTTGGGTTCTATGACACACTGAAACTGCAACCAATCACACACAGCTTTGGGTTTGCCTGAAAATATTAGGCTAAATGTTCTTGGCTATGTATGTCAGACAAATAGAGCCTTAAACTCCTATTAAGCTTTAAAGATGGGAGAGATGGGAAAAATGAAACAAAGATCATGGATAGTCCTGGCCAATAATCTTAACCTGATAAAAGGGCATGCAGAGACCTTCAAGAATAGGAAAATACTATTTATAACTCAGAATGTTACTCATGCATACTTAACTGAGAGTAAGATGGAATCCAATACCATGTAACCAGAAAGCTGACCTGTTCAGTGCTAGGCTGTAAGAAAAACAGACTACTTTTCAGGAATGAAGATGATATATAGACGGACAGACAGTCATGTTGTGCTGATCTTTGAAGGAGGGTCTTGCTTCTTTCTCTGAAGAGAAAAGCAAAGTGAGAAAGTTGCTTCACTTGGCTTTCTCCAACAGTTCCAACAGCATGAAGAGGCTTATGATCACACATTGTTATTGAAATTTCTGATCAAGTATTTAAGATGATAGAAAATACTGTTAAGCTAAAGTGCAGCAACTCTTTGTTTCACTTGGGAGAATCTCATCATTGGGACTGGGATTAGTAATAGCCTGATAAAAGGCTTTTCTAGCCCTACTTTAAGATACGTGATCTTGATGGATATTCAACAGGTGACATCTAATACAGTACAATCTTCTTGGCCATTAATTTCATACATTCAATTAGA